TAAAACACAACCGTGTTTGTCTTGCATCTTGTAACTTATCTGTTGAGGATGCACTACGGAACCTTTTACACTCACTAGGTCTATATGCATTACTAGCCTTCTCGATATCCACCTCTCTGAGGCCCTCTCGTCATCAATGATTGCATTTTGCTCTCAGACTGCTCTATTCTAGGGGTGAGATGTAATAGACTGGCGAACTTGCTCATAGATTGATTGACACTAGTATTTACCAGTTTCAGGATATCATCAAACTTTGGCTCGATACCCTCATCCTCCATACGGGAGCTTATCTTCACCCACTTCCTTTGCAGTCGAGTAGGTAGACGTCTTGCTATTACTTCTAGTATAAAACTCGAGTTGAGGTCACTCATGCGATTCATCGAAATCATTCCATTCTTGTAAATTAGCAAATTATCTAAAAACTCAGTGAGTGGCTGGGAGTCATCCTGTAATTGACCACCATTACCCTTAACAGCCTCGAATAATTTCCCTGCAATCATCGAAGGTCTTCCAAACCTTTGACGTAATATGCTCATAGCCTCATCGTAGCCCTCTTTTGGCTTCATAAACTTACAACACTTTATAGCTCTTGCAGCATCTCCAGTGCAATACCTCATCAAATACATTAACTTCAATTCATCACTTAATTGAATACTACTCAACATGATCTCAAACTCCTTTACAAATTGTAAATAATCAGCCGGGTTTCCATCAAAACACCGTGGTTCAAACTTAGGGAGTTTGATGTTCCTATTATCCCTGAACGGCGAAACAATAACATCAACCATGTCATGTTTAACATCAGACACATCGTTACAGTTAACAGACAAGTCACCATGACTTACTTTCCTGTTTGCATCCAAGACACTCTGTCCCTTCTTTGACCCAGGCATTGTTGAACTTGACCCAATTCCAAAAATGTTCCAGATATTGCTTGTTCAAAGAGGACTTGACCGGCACCAGGAAAAATGAACGGTAACTATCCAAACTTTCACCAACTGTTTGAATCCGCCAGATCTGTTTCTATCGTCAGAAACTGTCAATCACGTCTCATAAACCGTTAATGCCCAGCTCTCGCTACGCTCAGGCCCACGCTGTTCTTCGAGGATTTCGGAAACGCTTAGTTATAACGGACGAAAAAACCAAAACACCGATCTGCCGCTTGAGATTTCTTTATTGTTACACCAACATATAAAAGGAATAAGCGAACTAAGGTCTGAAAACAAATATTACAATAATAAATCATTGTATTACTTCTGACGATGGTTCACTCTTCTTTCTGAACAGCGACCGGTGAGACGATGACTGTCGTATTGATGCCTCCGCGAAAATTGGGGAAGTTGATTTTGAGCAAACAACCAAGAATTGATCGTTCAATCTTCAACTACATTGACACTCCCCGGCAAAATTGGGAAGGTTGGCTTCGGGAAAGTCTCCAGGTTGTGATGACATCAGACCATCTGCCCTGAAGCAGTGTTCAGAAAGTCTCTGTCAACCCCTAAGTGATCTGTTCCAACACTCCTTTGATGTAGGGAAACTTCCATGTGAATGGAAACGTGCAATCCTATCCCCTATCTTCAAGGGTGGTGACCGGCAGAATGTGACCAGTTACAGACCAGTTGCTCTACTTCCAGTGGTATCGAAGATATTGGAAAGTCTCATTGACGACCACATGAGAAAATACTTCGATGGGACTAACCTTCTTCACGAAGCACAGCACGGTTTCAGAAGGGGAAGATCCTCCGTGACGAATCTTCTACTAGCCTGGAATGATTGGACACTATCCTGGGACAAAAAGGTACCAGCCCACGTGATCTTTCTCGACTTTGCGAAAGCATTCGACACAGTTCACCATGGTCTGCTCCTTCACAAAATAAGCAAGGCGGGAGTTTCTGGAGCACTTCTCGCATGGCTGAAAGATTACCTAGGTGAGAGAGAATTCTGCACCAAAGTCAACCGCATCCGATCATCCTGGCACACCTCGGCATCAGGGGTTCCTCAGGGTTCTATCCTAGGGCCGTTGATGTTTTTGATTTTTATCAATGACCTGCCCCCCCAACTAAACTGCTCTGCGCTTCTTTACGCTGACGACGTAAAGATTTGGAGAGCAATAAACTCATCGGAAGACTCAGATAGATTGCAGGCTGACCTACAAACTCTGGGAAATTGGGCTTTGGCTAACGGAATGCCTTTCAATCTAAAGAAGTGCAAAGTAGTGCAGCTTCATTCCGGCAGGTCACAGAGTGTAAATTACAACCTTGGTGGCCAGAACTTGAGTTGTGTTCCATCAGAGCGTGATCTAGGTCTTATTCTAACAGAAAAGCTAGACACCAGTGGAAATTACTCGAGGGACGTCGCCAAAGCCTACGCAACATTACACTTTATGCACAGGCAGCTGGGAGCTCTCACTCCCGAACTGTTCTTAAGGCTATACAAGGCATATGTGAGGCCACACCTTGAGGTGCATAATATCATTGCACCTCCGCTACTCAAAAGGGATGCTAACATTCTAGAAAGTGTCCAGAGACGAGCGACAAAATGGGTGATCGGCCTCCGCAACAAATCATATGAGGAAAGACTAAAGAAATTAGGTCTTTTCACACTCAGTTACCGTAGGCACAGGGGAGACCTCATCACCGTCTACAAGATCCTAAATGACCAGGCCCACCCAAATAAAAGCATCCTGCCATTAAGCGATTATAGGCTTCCACGAGGTAACCCGCTAAGGATAGCACACCAGAGACCAAAGACTCGAGTGCGATCACATTTCTTTTCGCTTCGTGTTTGCCGTCTCTGGAACGCTTTACCGGCGGCCGTGACTACAGCGCCATCTGTGGAGATTTTTAAGCGGAAGCTAGACAATCATGCAGAAATGCAAGGTTTGTGTCTCAATGGCTTATCCTCATAAAATTTGAAACCAAACTGTCAATGAATAAGCGTACTAACTAAATCCCCACGACCTATTCTGCCTTCTCTCACTCTATCTTTTCCTTATGTCACCTTTATTATTCCACTTATCTCAACCTATATTATCTACACTACAACCTATTATTATTATTATTACTATTCTGCTTTTATGACTACACCGAATGACCAAGGGGAGTTAGGTCAAACTCCATTCACGGCAGCAATACAGTCCTAACATACTGCATACTACAAACCACATCTCGACCAATCCCCGCACCACTCCTCCTGGAGTCTACCAGAGCTAAAGCAGTCGAGTGTCGGGACTTACTACGCAGAAGCTCACCGAAGATCTGGAACCTCTACCTCACAATCAAGAAGCGAGCTCAAAGAAATCACTGGTTTATACTAGCTCGTCATCAGGATATTGGATATTGGAATAATAAATCATTGTATTACTTCTGACGATGTTTCACTCTTCTTTCTGAACAGCGACCGATGAGACAATGACTGTCGTATTGATGCCTCCGCGAAAATTGGGGAAGTTGATTTTGAGCAAACAACCAAGAATTGATCGTTCAATCTTCAACTCCACTGACACTTGTATTCTGGCCTATCACTATGGTGATTCAGTTTATCTTAGATCTCAGCAGAACCAATACTGTAGGAGTTATGGGTATAAGGGCTAGCTTTAGTACCCGTCTTAAATTCCGTAAATAGCAGCATTCCCTCGTCTCCTCAAAGCAGATTGACCGCCAGGCTAAGTGAGTCAAGCTAGACGGTCAGCAGGTAGTATGGCCAAAGCTCACATCCAGCAGGAAGGATGGTCAGAGAACAATAGGGAGGGTTACCACTAGTTGAAGCCGACCGCAAAGGAGCCCGAAGCATTTAAAGTAGCCGAAGTGACCGCCCTCCTAGAATCAATGTCAGTTTAAGATTGGGGATTGTGGAGTAGATCAAATTCACTGTTATATTTCAATAGTTTAAAGGGAATGATAGGTTTCTTGTTTGGCAATATTTCTAGTGAAATACTGCGCATGATCACACAAAATGTTCTAGTTGTTTTGAATACCTATTCCAGTTAGAAATCCCAATAGTTGGTGTGATTACCGGCAGTAGATTTGCTGGAATTACCACCGAAATAAAAACTTATCACTGTGTATAAAACACTGTAATCCAACCATGAGCACGACGTGATTTATGCTGTCTCGGTCCCTTCCCGCCCTGTATGATCATTCAGTGCTAACCATGTTACATCATCGCGTTTCCTGCTGCTAATCACACAACAGCAGTAATCTTGGTCACATTTCCTTGAAGCAATTTCAAATCGTTTCAGTGGAGGCCAACAAGCTGATGTTGCCGAAATGCTGCTGAATGATGGATACACCCAATGAAGCGGAAGAAATCCAGGGCAGTTTTGATCCATTTTGAATTTTTTATTTTTATTTTTGATAACACCTTGATTCCGCACTGTATTTTCGGTACAAGTATAGAATTTTCAGCATGGGTATCGGCAGCCCACATTTTGCAGGCCGACCATAGATATCAGGTATGCGTCGGCAGGGGATCGAACCTCGGACCATGTGCATGGTCGGCGACTACTATGTGACCGTGGCAAGCTGTTGCCTAGCATTTATCATGAATAGGCACTTTAGTTTTCATAAAACGTTTGGGAATTTTATGGTACATCAGTACGTTAGATCAACATTATCACCTTATTTTTGGTTAGGGGAAGATAGTTTTCGGAATTTGTAGTTCAACTCTTCGCCAAAAATTAACAATAATGGCTTGTGGCCAGAAGTTTAGATTTGCTATGGCTACTAGGGAATTGTGTATCAGGGAGAATGGAGGAGATTTTGCTTGCGTATGTTGCGTGCCACTAGGGATTCGGTCGTTTTAAAAAAAACAACATCATCAGAGAAGAAAATCAAGTACTCAGTGAAATTCGGAAATCTGACGAGAATGATGGGTATTTCGAATAACTCGTGATATGCGAACACTTCACGTGAACTACTATGACTTGTTCGTAGAAAGAAGTTATAATGGCAATAAAACTCTGCAACACGTTTGTTCTACTCTCTTGTCATCTCAGCAACAAGAGTCTGTAAACGCGGCTTGTTCAAAAGTTACACAAATGTTACTTTCCAAGCGACAAGCAACTGTCAGGGAAAGAAAACACGATTACTTATACGGCAAGCTACATTCTGTGTCTTATAGTTTCCTTTTACTGTAGACCCTCTATATTTCCTTTCAAGTGCGGCTGATCATGAACGTGTTGCTACTAAAGCACGTGCGAATCTGACCAAAATGCAGAAACTATTTTCTTTTGAAAATTTATTCAGTGAAATTCCCACTTATCAGCCGTTTAGATGGCGTTTCAGCATTGAAGATCCAGTTCCTGCATCGGTGTCACGACATTTTCACCCAATAGACTTATGCAAAGAATTAGTTAAAATGTAAGATTGCCAGTTGATTTTATTCCAGTAAAGTCAGCTCAGGAAAGGTGAAACTCCAATTGATGGTCACACGTTTAGTGGCATGGATAGACCCAAATACTTCACTTACTATACGTCATCAGTCTATCCCTATGTGAGTTGAGTCGACTACGTTTACAATATTCTGTGAGAGCATTTATTGTGTAATTGTTCCTGTTCACGGAGCTTTTAAAAGCAAGCTTTATCTGAGCGTGAAATTCGACATCTGACCACTAATGTCATTTTCTCACCACAATTGTGGTACGTTAATGTGCCCAAGTCGGACAAAAGTGTTAATTGATTGGCATGGTCAGTCGTAAGAAAATTTTTCTGGGTATATGACATACTCTTTCCTATCTTGACTAAAGTTTAATTAGTATTTTACAATTCTGACTATTCTTAGTCTGGAAAACAGAGGTTATATTTTGGTAAAATAATGGTTAATTCATGTGGAAATACTGTTTCAACAATGGTAAAATATTGGTTGAACTCTACTCAAAATAGGAAAAGCTTTTTCATATAAACAAAATCCACCCGCTTTTCTTACTACTGACACTACCGATTACTTGCTTACCGTTCACTGATGTTCTACTATTTTCGCCCTGCGGCGTCATTAAAACTATATTTCCCATGACTAAACTAATATTTTACCAAAATATGGCTTATATTTCGCACTATTTAAACATGACTGCCCAACTTAGGCAATTACTGAAGCACTATTTTCTCCTTAGGACCATTATATAACCAGGACTTACCCATTCTATCGTCATTCCTACTGTTTTCCCGAAATGTGTCCATTATTAGCCACTAGCTAACCATTCTTCTCCCATTTTTGTCCAGATTGAGATTATGAGGAAACATAGTTCTTGTTGCCTATGTTAATCCTTGCGATTCATATTTCTACAGAGTCATATATAATCTGTAAACTCATGACAGATGTTTTAAACACGTGATATATAACAAGATAAGTCGGTTGTGAGCTTTTGAAATCGACTGATATAATAATGAACAGATCACTGACCAACAATTTTGTTAGACCTTGAGAAATCTTAACATTTTCAATAATTCATCGCAGTAAAATGAAAGGTTGATACTTCTCTTACAGTAGTTGAGGCCAAAACGTTAACGAAAAGCCTATATAACGGAAAATGACTTAAGAGATAGGGTTTACAACCTCACTAACTCACCTGTTTCTGCTTACAAGTCTAGCCTTAATCGTCTTATGTAACGGCCCCCTGAACGCATGTAATGACATGAAGCTGAAGATAGTCACGTACGTAAAGATTTTCAAATTCTGCCGACGACGATTGTCTCAAAAACATATAGAAGAGACCAGAGCATTGTTTCGTGGAACACGACGTACAACAGGCAATGTGATATCATCAAGCAGATGTAATAAGTTGGTGAAATACTTCAGCAGAGCTTTGACCGGATTTAAAAATACTGATCTAAGCAAACAGTCAATCATATAACTGCTGAAGACCAATAACAGTATTATGCGGTAGATCAATGGTACTTATGAATTACACATATTTCTATTCACACAGTTGATGGAAGTAGAGGACAAACTTATGACACAGTTAACGACAGTTGGCAGGCTTATTTTCGAATTACGTAAATCCTCATCAAAATGAATTTCAAGAACTCCGAGAAACATTATTTGGCAATAACTGAATGATTCAATGATACATTTAATTATTTGTATAAATGGTCAACTTATCAACAAAGAACTTCGCATAAAATTGCATTAGTTCAAGTTTCCACACCTCGGAGAACGGAGAAATGTCATAAAACTATGATAGATGAAGACTTAAGTAGGTAACAACGCTTACAATATGAGTAAATTTCGAAGACACTAAGGAGAGAATACAGCTGGGACAGTGTGAGTGATTTTGAGCGGCATAACCGGGAAACTTTAACCATTGTTTCTTACAACTTGGAAGAACCCAGCCATGCCGTCTACAAATACATGGTTCAGTAACCACTTTGCTAGAATGGATTCAGTTCTCCAGATCGTCGGGGTAGTCAGGGAATTTAACCATTTCACTACCTATCCTTAGACTGGGAGTTGAGGCAGATCACTCCAGCATAACCTTACTTTGACAAGAAAGAATTGCACGCCAATCACAGCCACCAGAAGACATGATTTTGCTGGCACCTCTACGTAAAAGGATTAAATTTGAGACCTGAATCAGCAAGACATTTCCCTGGCAGCAAGTGTATCCCTGAAAAATGACACCCATCAGAGGGTCGCATTCATTCAAGCAGGTGGTGGAATCAAATAAAAGCACCACGTCAGTTGAAAATTCCCATTTAACTTTCAAGTGGGGTGAACTGGTTAGGATAATACACTTTCTAGGTAGTCTTTTCAGTCAGACATTAGTATATTTTTTTATCAACCGAGTCAAAAAATATAGCAGGTAATGAAAGTTATTATGAAGTATGCGGAGCTCATAGGAGTGAAAATTCAGTTCAGAATCTGAAAGGTACATCTACATATTTTTCGGACATCACTAAGTCTGCAGAACTGCACACATGAAGACCTCAAATACTATATCTGTCAAATTGAACTCCGTGATTACAGTTAAACTTCGTTTCTTCAGTTATAAAATTGAATAACCAACGACATAGAAGCATCTAGGGTCTTATACACTAGTCAATAATTCATTATTGCCATTCTTGACTATGAATTTATGCACAGACATTAATTTCACACTCGACTATCCCGTAGCATACTGCGATTTATGTTTCACTTGTTCGAGCGCTAACTTGTTTAAAATGTGTGTGATTTCAGAGTGCCTTTCATATACCTACAACTCAGCACGTTCTCATCATATGGACGTTCTTCAAATAAATATAAAACAGAACGGCATTTACATCACGCTTTTTGTATTCGCATTTTTCCGGGCACAGTTTACAAATCATTTTCAGATTCAGATAAGGATAGTGGGCTCTTGTGGCCTGTGTTAATCCTTGCGATACAAATTTCTTTGATAGCGTCCACCAATGGAACTGTTACTAGTGAATTAGGTAAGGAGTTCCGGTCGCTGACTACTCTGTGAGAGAATCTAAATTCCACGCGTACTTGGTTCGACCTCGGTTTGAGCACCTTCTTGTGGTAACCTAGTAAATGTATCTTAGAAGGGGAGGAAAGGTTAGGAAGGTCAGTTCCTAAATCACCCTTAAGTATACGGCATGCTAAAATTAAGTCACCTCTCTTTCTTCGGTATGATAATGGGAAGAGATTTAAATGCTCCATCCTTTTGTCATAAAGAAGGTGTGAGATAACTAACCAATTTGGTTCCTACTCTTTGTACTCTTTATAGGATATGTCGCTTTTTCTTGAAGCATAGAACAGCCGCTTGTGTGCAGTATTCTAGATGAGGTCTGACATATGTTGCATAGAGTACTTGTAACATACTCTCGTCTCTTCAATGTGCCCGTAGCATCCGAAAAGCCTTAGCTGCGGCTCCATTACAATTTGCCGTTGTTTTTAAGTTGTGGCTTACAGTAATTCTTAAGTCCTTTTGTTCCTTAACATTTGGCAGTTCTGTGTCCCCAAGGAAGTACGACGTATAAGACCTCTGACCTAGGTGCACTACCGCGCTTCTCTTGGAATTAATTTCCAAACTCCACAGGTTCGACCACTCAGCTAATTTATCTAGATCACTTTGTAGGGCCGAACTATCATGGTTATTATTTACAGTTTACCATATCTTAATATCGTCCGCAAATAATAATGAAGATGAACTAAGAATCCCGGCAGTTCGTTCACGTATAATAACAAGGGGCCTAATATAGTCCCCTGGGGCACTCCACTGGATACCGCTTTCCACCATGATAGCACACGGTTAACTCTAGCCTCCTGCCTTCTATCAATTAGGTAATCCCTAAACCACTCGTATAGGCTTTGGTCTAATCCGAAACCTCTAAGTTTACAACGATACTTAAGTGGGATACTTTATTGAATACCTTACTAAGATCGATGAAAACCACGTCCAACAGACGGTTTTATCTCTGGACTCAACCCAGTCGTCCCTAGCCAATAGTAGGTTTGTCTGAATCCATGCTGTTCCACCGTCAGCAAGCCATGTTTTTCCACATGGGCTAATACCTGGTTCCTTATAACTGTTTCCAATACCTTTGCTATAGTGTATGTCAGAATTAACGGCCGGTAGTTATATACCAATAGCCTGTCCCCATCTTTGAAGATAGGACTTATAATGGCATCCTTCCAGTCCCTGGGTAGCTTAGCCTAAGTCAGAGACATTCGGAAAATCTCCGTAAGTGGAATATATATTATATTCGCCAAGAAAATTAACAGTTTAGGGTGAAGTACATCGGGCCCAGGTGATTTATCTGGCTTCAGTCTAGATAGTAGTAAATGGGTCCCATAAGTTCTTTCGTTTTCTTAATAACCTCCTTATTTCATTACTAATTCAAAGTGGTTTGTGCGAGAGTTTTTGAGGCGTAGACCGAGGTGCAAAACGTGCAGTGATGCCATCTAGCGTATTCCTAAATCCCACCCAAGATTCCTCGACAGTCCTAGCTGATTGGTCAGCTGGGATTGATAAGTATATTCACTTTCTGAATGTTTGGACGGGCGGCTGCTGACCTATGCACAACAGCGTGAATCTCAAACGTAAATGTAATGACTACGTGGTCACTACTTCCTAGCGGCGCCAGGCACCTAATGTCATCGACATCTTCCTTCTGGTGTGTTAGCACCAAGTCTAGAGTGGACGGATCATGTTCACGGTGGTATCGTGTTGGTGCATCTATATGCTGCACAAGTGCGCATTCAAGCACTATCACTATGAGTTGAAACAAGTGTACAAGGTAGATGATGTTAATTACCCCCCAATTAATATGTGGAACGTTAAAGTCACTAACAACCAGACACCTATTTCCACTACCTCATGCCATCAAGTGATTTAGAAGGAAGTCATCAGCTTGGCAAGGGGACTTCTGGAAATAACCCCGACTGTCACAATGCCCTTGTTCAAGGTAATGACACAGGTTGCGGCTTCTCCAATACCTCTCATGAGCTTCCAATAACGTTGATTTAATTCGTATGTCATCCTGGATGTTATGAAGCAACCTCACCACCGTTCTGATTAATTACACTGCTCTAATGCAAATGTACTCAGGTATGTTCAAATGGCACCGTATGAGCTTGTAATAAAAAAGAACTAAGATTCAAAGGTAGATAGTAAAATGTCTTAGAAAATGCCATGAAAGTGAAGCCGAATGGTTTTCATAGTGACTTTACAACACGAAATCCAAATATGTAGCTTTGTAGTAATAGCATAGTTTGACTTTACCAAAGATACTATTTACTTATGTCTTATAAAACTCAATATCTACTGTCCTGCATACTGTAATTTCAGGGTTTTGATTATATTGCTGGTTAAATGACTGGTAGGTCTGAGCATTAAAATTATGGATTCTCAACTGTCTTTGAAACTTTATTCCAATTATATCTATAGTCTATTCCTACTGTATGTCATATGGAAAATATATTAAGCAAACTAATTATCTGATTGAGACACGCCAAGTGAGCATCAATATGCCATTCATTTTAGTGCTTGCGAATTACCCTAAGTACAAGGAATTTGTATGAAGGCAACTTATTCTCCCTCAACTTCGACAATGTTACCTTAGGCCATTTTAGTTTGTCCTACTACTTATCACTAACCCCCGAGGGATATTAAACCATGAGACTTTACGCTGACCAATTGAAAGTATGGCGAGCGACGAAATGCTAGGGTGACCTGTGTTCATTTCAAGAAGAAAAATGAAAGAAACTATATGGGTTTTATTCAGTCGCATAGAATGTGAGGCTATGTATCTGTGCCAAATGATACAACATACTCTCTATGTGGTCGTTATACAACTTGTGCGTCGGTGGCACGGTGGTTAAGACTCTCGCCGACCATGCACATCGTCCGAGATTCGATCCCCTGCCGACGCACACCTGATATCTATGGTTGACCTGCAAAATTTGGGCTACCTATATCCATGCTGAAAATTCCATACTTGTACCAAAAATACAGTGTCAAGTGAAGCTGTAAATAAAAAAAACTTAAGCAATGCCTCCAAACTCATGCACAAGCTTTGAATGAAGAACCCAGAGGAAAGCGCAGACTATTTGTATTGTCAAAATTAGCCATAAAAAGACGGACTTTGAGAGATCAGTTTTTATGCTTCTTTTTAGTGAAGATCCAGAGATTATCTAATCACTGTGTAGAGATACATCAGCCATTAGATCAAAATGGTCCAACCAGGGGTGGCTATGGGACTCCTGAAGAGCATCACTCACCAACGGGGACTGGAATGTAGTTAGCTGCAGTTTTTTCCGCTTTGTCATTTTTGGTCTTAAATTTGATAATCGGCAGCTGTAGTCATTCCTTTGTCAGTAAACAGCAGCAAATAGAGGGTAGTCAGATAAGGGTGATCGTAGGGGACTTGCACTGCGCATATTTTTGTCCGTCGTATCTCTTGTGTCTATTCATAATTCAATTTTCCAATGGTTTATGATGACTTAATTATTTTGACAACAGTTACCTGTCAGATATATATTATTACAATTTTGCGGAAAATCCGAATCAGTAGTTTTTTTAAACCCGCTTATAGGGTACTGATCTAGCTATTGGCTACACTATACCAGCCCTTAATAAGTGTAGTTTGCCTGATTGTCCAGTGCATCACTACTCTATCTTATTTGTAAGTATTGATAAAGAAAGTCAAATCAAAAAGACTGAGTAAATGAGTAATGTGCTCCGATGAGCACTTTATTTGAATAAAATAAAAAGTTAAAATTATTCAAGGGAAAAGATTCTGAACTTATCTAGCTATCATGGCCGAACCTCTGACTCAGGGAATCTGTGTGTTAACAACACAAGAAAAGGGTGCAAAAGTGGGCTTCCGGGAGAATCTGTATGCATATGCGTTAAAACTAAAGATTTAAACACTACAGGATTTAACAACAATCTCAGCTTTGCTAATTTCATGATAACCTCTTTATAACTTGTGATCATATCATATCTTTAGTGGGAGACCAGCAAATATTTCCTGTCTTGAGGCATAATTAAGTTAATTTCCTGCAGTCCCACAACGATTCATCTTAAATATCCTCGATATTTTAACAGTTGTTAAGCTTGTTGCAGGTTGTACAGTTAGCTGACACTATGTAATTTAAGTTTTCATATCTAAAGCAATGAAAAAGTAGTGACATATTTCACCTGACTAACGTTCTTCATATCAAGCCTGTTTCGATTTAGGGTTTTTTCGTTTAGATGGTGTCAACTTTCATACATGTGTGGATTTTATGCATAGGACGAATGTCCGACTATGTTTGAATGAATCAGTTTTTCAACCAAGTGAAAAGGAACAGGTTAAGTGATGACCATATTTTTTTTCTAATAATGGGATAAAACTGTTAATTTTTGTAATGGATAAGAATAATTTTATGACTTCATCATTGACTTGGTGAACCGCTTACTTTCAACTTTTCATACTTTTCTTGATAGAAATAAAGAAAAGGGATAATTTTCTAGAATCTAGCTTGAAATGTATTACTAAGTAATCTGGTAGGGTGAAAATATATTCATTCGTTTTCAAATTTATGTGGTTATGAATAAAAATTTCAACTTCATTTGAGGGCATACATACACGCTAGTTTAATTACTTCCATTACAGGTGACACATATAGCTTCAACCTTTGAGATTCAGGCCGTGCTGGTATTGTTTCTGTGGGTTGGAGTCGCTATCCTCACTCCTAACCCTCTTCTCTTTTAGGATTACTACTAGTTACGTGAATGCTATGTAACTATAGAGCTTTGCGGAGAAGTAACGAGAAGAATATTCTTTGCTGATATAGGTCTTTTTAAAAAATAGATTAGCTAGTGGAATATCACTCTTTTAATTTTCAATGTCTTTACTTCAAGACAGATTAGTGCAAATGATTTCTAGCAATAAATTGTCTCATTTTTCTAATCTAATGCATCAGAATCAATTTCCTTCTTTTATCATATTCAGCCCACAGCAGATCTACGGGACTGGAGTACGACATTAGAATCTGTGACTGGAAATCAGAATATACTACAAACAAATTTAATCTCACAACCGCCTACCTATGTATCACGTTATGTGCAAACAATGTTTCGTGATTCAGAAGCACAAACTGATCCATATTCCCCTCCATATGTTGTCAGTGTCGGTGAAACACCGGAGACACTGACATTAGCCACTTTGGGCTATGGGCATGGATTACCCGCTGGATTATATGATGTTGAAACAATAGAACGTGCTAGACAAAGACGTGAAATTGAATCAAATTTGGAGCCTTATAAAGATATTGCAAATGATCCAGTAAAGGTTGCTAAACGACGAAAAATCCTAGAAAAATTAGAAAATCGTGAATGGTATTACAGAGAGCGTGAAGTTGAAGCGTAAGTCTAAAACTTAAAATATGCTTACCTTCAACCTTCAAAATATTCCAATTTTTAAGAGTCTTACGACAAATTATTTGTTCATACTTGTGATTACCCGTTGATATGTTTGGGTATAGTAGATATTGCTCTTACATTTGAGTTGATAAGTGTTGCGATCTGGTATTAGTAGAAACACTATCACTCACTGCAGAACAGGTGTATCCAGATGATGAGTTACGAACAAAGCCGAAACTGCCACTTGGATTCCATCGCTAGTCTCCACCAAACGAGGAGATTATAAGAATATTGGATTTCTTGATTGCCTTACAAGACTTTGTTGATAAAACTTTGTGAATAATCTGCATGAACGGCTTACATTTAGGTCAAAAGAATTCGATCGGTTCATAGCAGGAAATATTAAAAATTACACTGATAAGATAATATCAAGAACCATTGAAAACCAGTTTAGAGTGCTGGACAGCTGTTTTATCCTCGTTTGGGACTCACAGGCAATAAGCACACACTGAGGTTTCACTTTAAAAATAATTACGGCTAATTTAGTAGATAATAGTCTAGAATCTGCAGATTAAGCAATGTGTTAAATTCCCGATGAGATTCTAGTACATTCAACAGGCGAGTCATAAATGAGACATATTCGCGTCTTAGATTTCATTACCTTCCATTATTAGATTTGTGAATGAGAACTAATGACAGTGATTGATCACTACGGTGACCAACTTTAGACGTGTAATCCTTAGCCTAAATGTTGACTGAATTCTACCACTCAAGTCTGTAATTTAGTCACCAGGCTGGATGACGCATCATCACTGTGCACTGTGGTGATGCATATATGAATTGCTGACGAATACCAGTAAGCACAAAACCTGGGTACAGGGCTTCCTTCCAATTACCACCAACTACTTAAAATAATGACACTATTCTTCAGAATTATTTGTTTTACAAACTGAATTCTTTCTGTCCTGGTCACCTTTCACCATCACTTTAACCAAAAGTTTTATATGAGTGCACACAAAATTATTAAGAAGGTGTACATGTGGCATTGTGGAAACTTACGCTCCTCTTTTTCAAAGTCATGGCACTAACCACGATCAAAAAATCAATGCTTAGAGAACATTAAACTTTAACTAAAAAAATTGTCTATTTTATAATATTTTCTAGACTTCAAGAAGTTCGATTAAATGTGCTCACTGCACTTTTACGTAGACGTGAAGAACGTCAACAAGAAATAATGGCCAAACGACTTGATAGAACATGGCAAGAACGATGTGCAAAAAAAGAAGCAAAATGTAGAGCTATACAATATCGTTATATTGCAGGTAAGTGATACAGTCGGGTACTTTAATTCGCGAAAAAATTACAAATTATTCTTACTGTGTGTGATTCTGTGGTGTTGTGATACAGACAATGTGTACCAATGGAATATTATTCTCACATATTCCCACAATTCAATTCGGCATTAGCAACAGAATATAATATATCTATTTGAACATTCTATTTCATTTTGTTTGATGTAAACCGAAATCACACGCTCAGAGATTGGTTAGAGAATATAAACTGTAGATATATAAACGACTATTTAATCAATTGAAAATATATTCTTACCTTCCGTGTCTTGCCTCCTGTTGTTACGATGCAAGTATTCTTGAACATTGTTTTGGCTAAAATGTTGCATATTATTTTCAAAAGGTGGATAGTATATGAATATCAGTGATTGTGATATTAGCTCGTGTGAGCACATGTTATTGGTAAACAAGAAATGCATCTTTTCAGGTTACTTTTCATCATTACTGTGAATCAACGTCCAGAGAATAAGGGTTTCACCTTAGTTTGGAACTGTACAGTAATGTGCATTTATTATCCCCGGAAGTAGTGAACTAAAAACAATTAAACACTAATTTGCTTTACAGTCGCGGTTAGATTAGAGGTGAATTATCGAAGCTTTAATGGTAAGTAGTGGATATCAATGGGAACCTCTATAGACAACAAGATGGCGTGGTGATGGGATCACCTTTGGGTCCGGTGTTGGCTGATATTTTCATGGCAAGTTTGGAAAATGTTCCGCTGAAAGCAACCATCGACAAATTCTTCTTATACAAAAGGTATGTTGATGATACTTTCGTCATCTGCGATAACAATTGTGATCAAAATATGGTTCTTCAAGTGTTCAATAGTTGCCACCCCGCCATCAAATTTACAATCGAAGTAGAAACCAAAGAGACAATCTCCTTTCTGGACGTTCGTTTAAGTAAGAAGACCGATGGTACCTTGAACAGATCAGTACACAGAAAACCTACATGGAACGGTCAGTTGACAAACTTCTACAGTTGGGTACCAATTAGTCGCAAGCGAAACTTGATAATATCTCTGGCGACTAGAATCCGAAAAATCTGCAGTCCTGAATCAATAGAGGAAGAGATCGCCCTCTTAAGGAAGACACTGCTCGAGAATGGCTACCCACCCCGTTTTATAGACAAGCATATTAAGCCTAAGACTTACAAAGAACAACCCACTACAGTGCAGAAGAAGATGGTCTACATGAATGTACCCTTCAAAGGTGACCTTCTGGCTGACACCTTGAAGAAGAGGATATCTACTGCTCTAAGTAGGACATTCTTCGCTGCCACACTACGACTGACATTTTCCTCCCGGCCATTGTTCTTCAACTACTCTAAAGATAAACTATCGCATTTGACCACTTCCATGTGTATCTACCAATTCACCTGCTCTTGCGGAGCGAGGTATATAGGTCGTTCGATGCGAGTTTTATCTAAAAGAGTTCAAGAACACTATCCCGCCTGGCTACGGAAAGGTAACAATGGAGCAATAAGGAGCGCCATTATTGAGCATATATTTAACACTGGTCATTCGATTTGTAAGGAGAAGTCATTCAAAGTCATCTATAAAGTCAAAAGAAGCCTTCCAAAATCGACAAGCTTCCGTATACTTTGTATTGCCGAAGCCTTAGCGATTTGGATAGAAAAGCCTGAATTATGCACACAGAAGAAACTTCTCCACCCCCTCCTACTACCGTGGGTTTAATTTCAAGTTCATCTGTCATCAACATTTTGTTATCAAATTTTTTTGCAATATTCGTATAATAATTTTTAGTAACTAACCCATTCAATCTTTTCACCTATTATCTAGTTTATTTTCATATTACGTAACCCTACTCACATCTTACCAATCCCCACCCCACTTAGTTACAACTTTGATTACTATTCACACAATTTAATTTATTTATTATTTTGATGATGTAATCAACAACCCACACTAACTGTTATTTTGATTTTGACAAACCTTATGTACACACACACACACAAAATTAATTGTATATATTTGCGACTGTACAGCTAAGAGAATGAATTCGCCGAAAAGAGACTCTTCGCTGAACTAATTTGTTCTTATTTCAATGTCTTAATGGGTATTTTTCGCGAATAATGAAACTGTTTAGGGTTGTACATGGTTGACAAGATCCAACGAAATAAAATGACACCATATTATTCCGGTCCATTTATTCTATGTATATCTGTCAATTTAACTGCTCCTGTGCAGCCAGTTAGTTGCTTAGGCCGTACAATTAGGCGTGTTTATCCTCGGATTTCCGAACAGCATCCTGCATGGTTAAGTAAAGGACAAACGAAATCCATTCATAGCTCTATTATATCTCATCTTGTGGATACATAACATAAGATTGATGTCAACAAGGCTTTCAAAGTCATTTGCCTGATACCAACTTAACTATAGCTCAAGAGTTCGTCTGTTACATATTGCTGAGGCTGTTGGGATGTATATTTAGAAACTTAACCTATTTATCCAGAAGAATTTGGTTCAGACGCTTTCCTTACTTCGGCCGTCAAGGTTTTAATGATCCTCAGTTTGTTGTAGAGATTTCCTTAATTGTTTTGATATTTTATTTGCTATTACGTTTTTATGCTTATTATAAGCGTCTTTCATGGACTGTAATTTTATTAATCTTAACAATTCGATAGTATTTAAAAATACAAACATTGTTAATAACGATTCTTCTAGAATATCTGTATATATATATATATATATATATATATATATATATATATATATATATAACCTCATAGCCGGGAAGGGAAATAATCGAAAAGAATAATCTTTGCTCAAGTTTTTTTCTAGATGTCGATGAATATTTTCGCTGTATTCTCCCTACTTCGTTCAGTTTCGTCAGGAGAAGGAATCGTATGCAGTCTCTGAGAAAATTCATTTCGGTAGAGCTGACGTATTAGGTTTCACGTTGATAATCTGCACATTATTGAGTGGTATCTTCTATTTGTGATGGCGGTATGAGACATGTTGCTAAGTCACTTAAAATATGATAGCTGAACTAGAGTTTAGATCCATTTATTCTAATGCATTTGAATAGTATAGCGACGCACCGTTTATATTCAGTCTTTATTTCTTCTAATTTTGAATCAACATTGTTTTGTTTTATTGCTTACAGAGCTGCGTAAATTATTGAAACGTCGGATAGCCGGTAAAGAATTCAAATTTAAACGTGATATAATCAGTGATTATGCAACGCCTTCATCTCAAGTATTTGCTCCACTTACTCGTCTTGGTGTCTTTCCAGATCGTAGTTCTGAAAGTTATGTTGTCAAAAATGCGTATTTAACCAGTTATGAAGGTAATAGTAACCTTAATTAGCAAATTATTTCTTGAAATTAAACTTCGTTTAAGATTTAATCATTTCGTCATTAGACTATTAACAGTAAGCTAGACCAAGATTATCTTAGAGATCTTAAGTTTGAGTAAATGCTTACCGAGGAGGCGATAGTGTGAAACAAAACTAGTTGCATAAGCAATGAAAGTAACGAATTTATTTACATCTGGATTTTGGTATTTATTTACTGTTAGACTGAATTGTGGAATTGCGTTGCACTTTTATATTTTATTCTTAATCTCCTTTCTTTTCTTCAGGTTTCGTGAATATTTTACTGATTTTTTCCTTACCAACTTCCGACATTTACTGTATTTCTTAGACTAAAAGCGGTGTTCACATCCGTCGACTGAGAGATGCGGCGTCAATGGTTGCCTATGAAGAGAGCTCTGAGAAAGTATATTTTTCTAAATAAGATGCCCGACTTTAAATTCTTCAGTCGTGTAAGAGATGATGAAGAGTCATCAGCTGAAGTGACAGCAGACACTAGTGTCAGTCAGTGATTCCCACTGTCACTGTTCTTATTCAGCTTCTTCGGTGTCGCATCTCAACCGAATATAGGAAACAATTTCTTCTCTTGGCTCATTCTACTTCTCCAAAAGACAATAACTTGTCTGAAACGTTTTCTTCATTCCTTCACGTTTCCCGTGGAACATAGGGCTTCAAGCTAGACACTTGAAGTTTCTGTTGCAATATTTTTTTTACAGGATGGGGTTGCTAGCTTCATGCCCAACCTTTCCTGTCTACCAGTTTTATTACTGGCTTAGCGAGGTAAAGGAGTGCGTCGGCCGAGGGTCGAACTGCAGAACATGTGCATGGTCGGCGAGCATCCTAACTGCTGTGCCACTGACCCACACTGTCTGAAACTATAGGGTCACTTTTATAAGACAAAGGTACATCAGAGATACATGCGTTCTCTCTCCTTCTTTCTCACATACACAGAGTTATGCTACATTATTGATTAGATAATTTGTATAAAGTGCCAGCTTGTTCAACAAAATTGTCATGTCCACATAACGACATATATCTAGTTTTGAAACATAGAAAACTTTTGCCTGAGCAGCCAGTGACTTAAAATGCTAAATTCACTTTCAGCCTCTTTCTGCCACTATCTACGACAGTGAAAATCAGGCTTTATCTCTTTTAATATTTACTGAATTTTTTTGTAACTTGAACTTCAACGCTTGGCTGCTGATCACTCCACTACTATTCACACGATGAAAAGATGAAAAAGACTGACCGAGAAGGCAAGATTTATTTTCTTAGTTTCGAATCATCCAAGCCTACTCCAACTGTAACAGCACCTTCAGTCGGTGGATTCGATAGTAACATTACTGAAGTCCGATATGATCCTAATGTCAATGTTACATTTGAAGATGGTTCATGTGGTATGAAGACAGTTCCAAAATAGATTTTACTGACGAAGATAATTCCTGGGAAGTGCGTCATCTGAATTTGACCATGATTGCAGTATAATTCAGCGCAGCACCCAGACGATCATACTTCTGCTATCACATTGTACTCATTAAGACAATACTTTGGTGATTATTCATTCCTCTTTAATTCTCTATATCCTTGTCTTAAGTTAATCACCAATGAGTATGCAGATTTTCACATGTATGTTGATACTTTCGACTGTGATTATGAACGACTGAAGCAAAACCTTTGACAGACGATTGGCTAAAATCAATAATACTCACTTTCTGTAGCCTATAGTCATCTAGTTTTGCTAACGTTAGAATGACGTTGCTGAACTGCTTCAAACAGGATCCTTTGGATAAACCAAATGACATATTTTCTCAGTATCAACGATTGACCAACATACAGCATGGTAAGTGTTTTGTCCAATTCGGATCTCAGGGTGCTAATCAAGTACATGAGTTTCTCCATACATCACATACCTTCACAAGACCTTCTGTCGAGGCTTCCTCTGGTCCTACTTTGACTGTTCATCGTCCCAGTTACTCATGCATACCAACTGTAGCTAAAAAAAGACACTTTCATCATCCTACTAGCATTGTGGTGCGTGGCATTTTGTCAAACCTTGTGCGTATAAATAACACCTATGCTGAGACTGTACTTCTGTTGAACACAAGGTCGGTCTTTTTCAGTAACACAGAGACACTCATAGCGGTTATCCCCGAAACACTGCCAAATATCCCACTGTCGAACAGTAGATAAATATCTTAGCCTCATAGCTACTACAAAGAGTTTATAAGCGTATGTGTGAACGATCATCTAGTTGAATTACTGGCCGATACAACATCAGATATCACGCTTATCTTCAAACAGTTGCGTTTGGAGATGGGACAACCTGCAATTCAGAAAGTTTTGCACACTGCAAACAATACATTTGTGGGGAAGTCGCCACTAAGGGTACACATTTGTTGTTCAGTTTCCTTCCTAAATACTGTCATAGAAATGGTTTGGTATATTGCTGTCTTGAAACAAAGTCTTCTGGGTTTTGCTTATTTAGAGAGTCTTGGATTATCTATCAGAGTTAACATTACGTACTGTATGCAACAAAATTCAGAACTCACTTACATTTGATGGAGTAAGTCAACATTTTCCAAATTTTCTCATGCTTGGTCTTGGTTGTGGCACAGCTTCTTACGCATTAATGGATAGAAAGCAGGCTGCGACAAACGACACATTAATAACAAAGTTATCTGCAAATCAGTTGCTAATCTCCCCAAAATCCTTCGAATTTAAAATACCTGTGTTTTCTGGAGATTGTGGAGTCACTAAAAATTACAGCTTTTTATACATTTGTTTTACATAATCAATAAATTGCTAGTTTAAGGTATAAAATCTATGATTCTACTGCTCAGCGTGCACCAGTAAAAATCTGCTGACCTGACCATTAATCTACATAAGGATCAAATGTTTCGTGTAAAAGTCAGATAAACAATAAGTCATAGTAGCCCACCCCTTGTCCTAACACTTTTCAGGGGCGTTTAAAAAAGAATCATTCCAAGAACTAAAGAGTCCCTCCACATATATCTCTTAGCTTCTTCATGAAGTTTTTTCAATTGCCCTTTTTCCTTTGGTTTTTAAAAAAAAATAAAGGTTTACTTGCTTTAGAAGCCAGTTTACCACGCTTTGTCTTTGAACCAAGAATTAAAATTAAGAAGCCAGTGATTTATACTAAAGATGGATTTCTAAGACGGGAATACCGTCATCAAGAAGAATTAGCCGAGTTGCACAATGTAGGTCTTTGTTTATTTTTAATTTATTTTGTTATGTCCAAACCAAGTTCACTTTTAACAGTTTGAAAAAATTTGGGCGTTGGGTATGTCTGATATTCATTATTATAAAAGATAAACAAAACAATATCGTTTTGCTTTTCATTCATTGGGAAATGCAAAATTTTCTGTAATAACGAAGCTTCTCATGTCTCTAGTATTTGATTTCAGTTCATAATTTAACCTCTTCGTTTTACCACTAGATTTGCTATTTGTCAGCCCTTGCTTAAATTCACATTCATTGTTCCCATTTCTGGGTACTTGTTTGTATGTATTTCCCGGTAATCATCTTCCCCACACATTATGACACATAACTAACTCTTCAGCCCCAATGAAAGTTACGCTGTGTTAACTACAAATACACTAGTATGTCACCCAGTTGTCTATTCACATTTTACCTTATTTTGATTGACTGTACATTGACTGTATCCATTTAATTGACTATGTTAACTAACAAACTATCACTCTAGGTTGGTATATGCACCCCAATACAGTTTCCGATCTACTTTTCACATGCTTCTAATGACTGGCTATTTGTATTATAATATTTATAGATATATAAATGTAGAGCCTTAGGAAGAATTTATCGAAAGCGATTGTTAATTCAAAAGCGTCTTGTTCTTATTACACTATGGGGATCCTTAATTCACTAAATAGTTAGTCTTTTAACACTAATTAATATGTCTGCTTACATAATTTTTGCATTTATGTTGTTTATATCTTCTGTCTACAACTCGACGTCCCTGTAAGAAAAGTATGTTCAGAAATCGTGTAACTCATACTTTGATACTGTTTAGAATATACTCAGTTGAAAAGAATCAACAAAGTAAAACGTGCTCGTACTATCCTACAGGCATGTTGATTATTTCTTTGTTCAAATTAACAGAGGGAACTGGTTATGTGAAAGTTTTTGTGTTTATGTAAATTGAATTGCATCTTTAGTGCTTATGATGGATTCGTACTAAATGTTGAACACGTGAAGAGTTAATATCCCTGATGAGCGTCATTCACTTCTTCAGAGGTCTCGAAGACGTCATCTTAACCAGTGTCAGGAAGTAAAAGACCAAGGTCCAGGTCATCATTCTCATTAACTTCAGTCGTCTAAATTATTGCTATTATTATCAGATGTACTAATACACAATCCTGTAGTATCCTAATTTAACTGCTAAGCTATCGGGTTTGTTAGGTAGTCTTAGTTGTGTCGACTGATTGAATGCTATAGGATAGCTGCAGTATATTTCTTGTTTACATAAGAGCTAGTGTATCGCATTTCAATCAATAGATTGAAAGACCAGTAATCTTGGGGACTTCTGATTACAACCCTACCACAAACCAGTTTTTCGTTTCCAATTCATTTGTCAGTCTGTTAGGGTTTGGTGAAGTGAATAGGTTGGTCGCTGAACGACTGATAACATAATTATCCAGTGTCGACTGATGATGAGAACTGACTGGTCAAATTTACTATACGTTCCTCAAGCTAAAGAGCATGTTACTGTCATAAACTATTTTCAAGTATGTGGTATCAGAAGTTAACTGGTGTAAAGCTGGAAACCCAAATTTTACAGTTATCGGCAGTGTTTATTCTAAAGTCTTAAAAAGTTCAAGTCTTTTCAGAGACGTAAATTCACTTCATATATCTCTGATCGCTGAATTTAACACCTAAATATCTTGAAAGTTATTATTATTATTATTATTATTATTATTATATAAGCTTTATTCCAAATCAGTACTTGTGATACAGAATGGAATTCTCAGCATTTTACTACAATATTAACAATATATTTACAATATAAGTTAACCTCATCTCCTCCATGAATGGGTTAAGATGATAAGTGGTAGAACTGCTCCACGCCTGTTACTATTTATTAACATTTAATTAGATGTTTCCATACATTTTTATCAAATTTGGATTTATCCACTCTCCGGAAGCAGCACTAGAGAATGATGTAGTCAAGAAAGATAATAGAAGTTGTGCCTTTCTAGCTAATATGTTTACATAACTGATCTGTTTTATAAACATCTGGCACTTGTATTATCTTTTTTACTTTGGCTGAAAAGCTTTTACCAATAGATTTCAAACTCAGACTCTTTACTATTATTTACAGAAGCTTTATTTGATCCCAAATTTGTACTTCTAATTGGCATTTCTTTGTCAGTCATAAACGCATGAAGTGTTCAGTGTAACTTATTTCATAAGTGAAGAGCCGATTATATTAGTGATGTTCAGTACCATTGTTAGCCTTAATGTCTTTCAAGAAGTGGTTTCATCATATGATACGGATAGTTCGTGATAGATTCATGATAATCGTCATTATACTAACATTAGGTAATATATTACCTAATTTTTGTTGGATGGAAGTTTTTGCCGGCATTTCAACAAACGTCAAGTTTCCGATATTCAGGGCGATATTTGGATCACTACACGTCCAATGACCATACTATATAGAATCATTTTTACACCAGTGTTTCATCAGGAAACGAAGTGGGTCGACTATGAATGCGCATTTATAGTACTCTAATTTACCTGAATTTAACGGCAGCGGTTGTAGGTGTGTGATATAACTGATAGAGTTTCGAATTCAAATTTTTCAAAAGGAAAGTGAACAACTGTATTGCTGATTAAAAATCTTTTAAATGTGCAGCTCGTTGTGAGGGTAATTCCGAGTCTAAACAAAGTCAATAAAGTCTGATCACATGAATTTTTGGTAGCTTTCGTTTAACTGAAGTGATAAAACTTGTCTTCACTTGGCTGATTATTTGACATGATTCATCGAAAGACAGATTCTAATTTACTGATTATTTTTCAGCGCCCTCCAGCCTAAGCTTCAAAATCCACCTGCTAACCAACCCCGATGGGTAATTCTCAAATGTTGTACCAATAAATGGTACTCCACTGTTCGCTTATGATCTCAATAAAGTATCTCAGGTAATTTCACCATGATTAATTTTCGTCAGCTAAAAAAAGGATTCATTGCTGAAGTTGTGTTCTTCTGTAATGACTAACTGCAGTAGGTTGTCTTCACATATTATTTAGGTCCAAGTGATCTATGACTTATGGTCTGGTTGTACACTTTTTCTTGAAGTTTCTTGAGTCTGAATGTGATATGTTATGGTTAGATATCCAGAGAAATTTACTTCTAACTTGCTTCACTTGCAAGGCTTAGGAAATCGCCCAGCAACTTCCCGATTTACTCGTCCCGCATTCACCAGTCTTGTTCGCTTCAGCGGTAATGGAAGTATTGCAAAAATGAAATCTATTATATCTGAAATTGTCAGATATACTGCCCCATTCCGTTGCTGTACCTTTAATGGTTATAGTAGTAATTTATAATTTAGCTATTCATATTATCCAATATTTTATGATAGGTTTGATTTATGGTTACTTTCATTTCCTTAATAGTTACATAACTGAACTGTAATATAACTGGAATTTTCGATGTGTCCGTATATATTGTGACTCATCTGCGTTCGTTTTACCAAGCAAAGCACATGTTATTCATGTGTTCATTAATAGTAACAACGTTTGTAACACAGCTTTCCATACAGAAAAGTTTTCTTTTTTTTCAGTATTTGCTGAAAACATCATTGAATGAAGAGAGTGTTATTGTAAGAAAACCGAGATTTTTACAAAAGATTGAGAAGCCTATACCACGCCCATTGACACCGGGTATTTCTCCACCGACTAGTGTAAGTGTTAATATAACTTTATCGTTTCAAGTGTTAATCCATGGGAAATATACATTTCTCTGTTTCGTTTTTCCTACAAGGTTATGTTGAAGTTACTGTAAATAAAATGATAACTAAAGTTATTCGATCACTATTTCTTACAAGACATCTCCATTGTTTAGATTAATGGAGAAGATTTGTTTCTCAGGTGGATATATTTGCTGCCGCTGCTGTTGTGCTAGCTGACCTGGATGACTGCAAAGATTTGGAATTAATGCAAATCTTTCACTGTTTTTCAGTGCTAAATTCAATGTGATTGGCTGATTTAGGAGACAGACAGTCGAGGGCACTTGGGAAGACTTCTATTTCATTCATGAAGAGAATTCCGAAAGCTGACTTCAAACTTCAGTTTTCTCTGAAAATGTTGTATAGAAATACAATGAAAGCTTCATAATTAAACAATCGAGCTTACAGGATGCAAGAACACTAACTGATTTCCAGTTTGATGCCTTCTAGAAAGCCAATGAACTCTAATAGCAGTCGAAGAAGTTAGGAAAGGATTCACTGAAAGTGATGGATGTTCATTTTGTCAGCTAGCAGAATGGCTGAATTGCCAGGTTCAATTCACATACACGCGAAATCAGTCGATCAGACCTCTATGAATACTAAAGGCGGATGTCGTAAAATATGAATGATGCAGAAAACAGTGTTAATCAAGAATAAGACAATAAGCTAGTATTATGCTCCCAATACAACTATAATTTAGTTTATTTGGAAAAGTAACACACAGAAGTTTACAGGCATAGTGCGTTAGACAGAAAGAATACAGAGTTTGGTCAGATTCATTCGAGTATGAAAACGTAATTTTCAAACATGTTTGTTGTACTGAGTAAGATAGCTTTGATCCTCAGGAGATGGATCCAAGTTTTCAGTTTGTGAGCACCAAAAGATGTGTAAACTACCTCCGATAGTCTTTGTTTTGAATCATGCTTGAAACCTAGGAATATGGAACAACCTTTTCAATATCTGCAGATCTCAAACTAGGACGAAACAACTATCTAACATTCATGGATTCTTTATATGAATGTGAAATGCATCATTTTCCCACTAATCATTTTTATTAACACTACCTGTATTTTGATTCTTATTTCATAATTTGAAATTTATTTTAAATCATAATTTTTAATCACAGGAAGAATCAGAAGAACATGAATTAGCTGCCACTGTATTGCAAAGTTTAATCCGTGGACGTGCTATACAGACACAAATGTATGAAGGTAAAGAAAAACGTCGTGAACTTATTTCTGAGCTTAGATCAACGCACGCTTTATTAAAAGATGAACAAGCTCAAAAGAAACGTCAAAAGTTGATAATATTATCTAGACAAGAGGATCACGATCACCTGATACACCAAGTAGTCTTTACTTCTTTAAATCATGACTAGTTATTTAATATTTATGGTTAAAGTGTAATACGATTACTTTGAGTTCTCATCTTGAAACTGAGTGAAGTCTCAAGGTCTAAGTAGCCAACCATGTTAGACAAAGATCTAGCGGCCGAATGGTAGGCTAGCTGCCTTTTAACTTGAAGGTCCTGCGTTATAGATATATGCTGTTAAAGAGCTCTAAACTAGGACGGAACGCTTATGCAGTTGTTGATGGTTTCCAGCAGTCCTTTAACTCATGTTAGTTTGTGGTGTAGTCCACCAACACTTGAAAGACGGTAATCTAGTGATATTTGACTTTCATTGTCTCTCTCGTAGGAGATGATGGATGGTGACGGTTACGCAAGATGCGCTGTACACAAACGCAAGTGTTTATCCTATAACTCTTGAGGTATTTGTTCTACTGAGATCAGAGACAAATCAAAACATCAAATTAATCGCACAAAATACGAGATCTACTTCGGAATCAGAATCATGGAGGAATGATGATTGCTTAACAAGTTAGGGTTCATGCGTGAACGGCCGAACGTGACATGTGGCGTGGATGCATGACCTTCGGTCTGATAAGTCAACTTAAATATTGAAGGCCAACATCCAGTTAATCATTTTGAGGAATTATTTACTTTCACACTTTGGTTTGATGATGGTCTATCTGAATCGTTTTAACTAGCCTAAAGTCTGAAATAGGATGAGTGTAAACTTTTGATAGACTTTTAGAATTAAACATTTACCGCCACATTCCCCTCAATCTAGTCATAGTATTTACTATTGTACTTCAGGAATATATTCATAGAAACTCAGCATGAAGGAATTTCAATATTGCTGACATGTTGTTTAGGGAATTCTCAAACGCTAATTCTTATCCTAACCCTTATCCATAAAGCATTAAGAAACTGAATGTAAGAGTAAAATGTGGGTACCGTGGTAGTTTAACCTTATCTGATAAAACACACAATGAGGCAATACTAATAACTGGATCACGTTTCGAACATAATTTATTTATCTTATTTTTTTTACTTAATTATTCACATGGCTTCATGATTTGTCCTAATGATTACTGAAGTACTACTATTCCGTTGGTCACACTTTGAAGAAGAATCTAGAATACGAGTATAGAAACATAATGATAATATGATAAAAGAAAACATCGATCTGGAGAAGTAAATAATTGAATGGAGATCAACTGAAGATATCCCGAATGGGGAAGTCGATAATCAGGGAATAATATTCCTCTGCCATTATGAACAGTCAACATCGTCTAGTTTTGTAGGCAGTCCCAAGCCCGAAAAATGAGGTAAGCTTGGGTCTGCGGCTAGCGACACTACACCGGAAAGTCAGTCTAGTCCCCAGAGAATCTTCAAAGTACATGAAAAATAAAAATCCCCATGGTGTAATCAGAACAAGATGATTTTGAGTGAACAATTGTTTTCGATAAATTCTTCTTCTGTCATAAATCCATGACTACTAGAATAGAAATAACCAATAAAGCGATGTGAAAATTCTTTCACAAACTGTATCAGGGTACATGTTTAATGTGGAGTGATAGTCTGTTATTTAATCTTACCAAATGAGTGTATATAAAATATAAAGTCATTAATAACATAAGATGAAGTGTGAATAGACAACTGGGTGACATACTAATGTATTTGTAGTCAGCTGGATGTAAGTTTCATTGTGGGGTGGGAGTTAGTTGTATTTAGTGGTGTGTGAGGAAAATGATTACCGGGAAATACATACAAACAAATACTCAGAAATGGGGAACAGTGAATGTGAATTCAAGCAAGGGCTGACAGATATCAAATGTGTTGATAAAAATCATAAGCTCCCAATGAAATGAAAGAGAAAGGAGAACTCTTCGAAGGCTTCTGACCTTTCAGTAATTTGGTGATTGGAGGTAGTGTGCACAAGCACAAGTATATACTCAAGGTGATATGGATTTCTCCTAATAGACGCACCACAAACCAGATAGACTTCATCTCATTCTCGAGGAAGTGGAAACGCAGCCTGCTAGATCCAAAGTCGAGAAGGGGAGCAGATGTGGATGCAGACCATCCAGTTCAAGGAACCTTCAAGATCAACCCAAAGCCTTCAGAACAACTGCAGATAGAGCGCAATTCAAGTTCAATACTCCGAAACTGAGATGAGAGACTGTGGGCAACTGTAGAGTCAGCTAAAGTGGCCAGCAGGAAACAGAAAAAAGTGGGACGTGTTGTCGAAGCCGTATATTCCACTCTGAACCCAAGTGAACAATAATAATATTAATAAAATAATGATAATAGTAAAACTCAAAAACTGCTAGACGAAACTGCAAATGACAATTTTGCAGCCATAAGAGCAAAGTGGGAGACACTACATAGCATCGCTGAGGAAACCTGTGTGGAAGAACATTGGAACTCTCCGAAGCTGATGTTCAAGAGACAAAATACGCAGTGGCTCTTAATGGATATCTGAGAGCCAGTAAAGGAGAGGAGGATAGTGAGACACATGAATTAATGCAAAGATGCAAAACAAGAGGAGAAGCTGATTTCACTGGGAAAGAGAATGGCAAGAAAAACGAATGACGCTTCTACGACACACTGGTATTTGAAGCAGAAGAAGCATGCCGCAGATAAAAGAGACCTCAGCACGTTGTATCACGTCTCTACCCTATAAGAGATGAATGCAGGGAATACCTATAAAAGATGTTCAAGAGAGCTTAATAAGGAAAGAGGATAGACAAATGAAACAGTGGGCTGATCACTTCGAGGACTCTTGAAGTGACCGCCACAGGGCTGCAAGTGGGCACTAATCCTCCAACGAAAGCAGAAGTCTTGAATGCGATGAAGCTAGTGAAGTACGGAAAGACAGCAGCACCTGACGGAATTCCTCCGGAAGCATTGAAAACTGATCCAGAGACCGTAGCGGGTATGTTGACGCAACTATTTTTAAACGTTTGCAAGGAAGGGAAGATACATACTGAATGGAAGAAAAGCTACCTTGTCAATCTACTTAAGAAACGTGGCTTAGGCCTGTGCAAGAACTGTCCACTCCAAACAAGGTATCAAGTCACCTCCCTCTGGGGAGACTAAAACACGTTGTGGCTGCAGAACTCTGAGAAAAGCAAATCATATGAGGACCAAATAGAAACGCTATGCATCATCATCGAATAGGTCATAGGATTGCAGTTGATTCCCTACCTCAGCTCCATCGACTTTGGAAAGGCCTCTGACAGCTTTCACCGCGAAGTAATTCGGAAACTACTTCAACACAGTGTGAGCAATCGTAAGGCCGGCTAAAGAGGACAGAGGGAGATGAAGATGTTCTGTTGAAGCTCTATGTTCCCTTCAAAACACGATGGAACAACAATAATTATTATGAACAGTCTTTAACCATACTGATTTTGAGCATCCGGAAAACATAACTTAGTCCATTTACCCTCGGCTTCTTACTGTTATCAGACTAACAGTCAATCAGTTCATGCATTACTTCAAGTCTGATCACGAATTTATATCTGGTCAACAAGCCACTGGAAGGAAACAGGGAATACTGGACAACTGTGTCGTCCAAATCTGGGACTCTTCATCAGCACGCATCTGTGATCATACAGGAGACTGTTACCAGGACACAAATGTTTCGAGACGAGCTCTTTGACCATTCAGCCACTGAAACGTTATCCAATGGCCGATGAATTCTGACTTTTGTCGGTTTACACGTGTTCCTAAATGTCTTTAGTGACTGAGTGAATTTCCTTTTTTATACAGATAAGACAACCAAATAAAAATTAAGTTTTTATTTTATTAACAAGTAACAAGCTCTTATATAAGTACTGATAAATACAAACCATTTTTAATATTCAAAAAAAAAATAAAGGACAATTCAATGGAAGCCATCTTGGGACGATTTGAAAGTGACAGTTTGGCCGATATGTTAGATTTCTTAAGTAAAGAATTAGATAGACTGATTGAAGAACGACGTGCACATGCCTTAATTTTATTGGCCGAACGCCAAAGACGAATAAGAGAAGCTGAAGAAAGTGGCACACGCCAAAAAGAAGAGCGTAGAAGACGAGAACAAGATGAAATATTTAAACAGGTAGAACACTTATTGGAAATTAATTGATTCAAATATATGCTCTCTCTCCCTCTCTCTCTCTCTCTCTCTCTCTCTCTCTCTCTATATATATATATATATATATATATATTAAGTGGGCTGATTGGAGTCATTAGAGTTTGTCAGGTTATAATGATCCTTTCATTGAATATGTGAAAACTTTTATTATTCACCCTGTTTTCGATGACCTTAATTCCTCACCCCCCCCAGCCACCCTATTGCAATATGTGTACAGTGTTATATTTTTACCACATCGAAATACGCTTGAAAATAATTTTGCTGTGTCAGCTGTTATAATTATGTTCTTCATAGAATAATGACTTTTTAGTAAATGTTTATGGATTAGGTTTATGGAGTGAATAGATTATGATAGTAATTATAGCATCAGTTCATTTCAATACTTTTGGTAGTGTAAGGTACTGGTTGTGCTATTGGTATGCTACATTACATCTACCTTAATTGGAAGTACTGTTAAGAAAACAAATAAAATACTCAGTTTTTTCGGGAATGTATTCTGATGAGAACTATATTTAAATAGAGTAAAAAAATATCAAGGTTATTTAATGAGGTATTAGAACGTGTTAACAGCACAAGAAATGAGTGCGAAACGCCATATGCTGTAAACAACCAAAGCATCAACAAACAGCCCAGACGTCTACCTAGTTAGTATTAATTTGATGAGGTTTGATCTGTTCATTTTAGCTGTATGTTTATTTTCGTGTCGTGGAAGGTACACCACAAAACTATACGAGATTGTCGGAGACTAGCAAAACTGTCTGCTTAGTGAAGGCCTAAGCAGTTGAAGTCTACATCACGTGTTTCTACTAGCTGCTGAATTTCTAAATTGTTCAGCTGATAAAATTTTGAAACCATTTCAGTTTTTATTTCCTGTTCAACTGTTGAAGTTTAAATTATATATACATATACCAAATATTAAAGAATACTGCTGTTTAATTTCTCTTTTTCACAGCTTGTCAAAGTGCATGAAGAGACAGTTGATGGTTACTTGGCGAATATTGCTGGTTTAGCGGTGGACACTACTGCTAGTCAATTGGCTAGAGAAGAAATTACAAAATTAGCTAGGCGAATTGATGAAGATTCACATCTTCATGAAATGAATCGTGATGAATTAAAGTCAGATGAATTAGCAGCCGAACTAGTGCATAACTTTTTGATACCATATGTAAGTGTGTGTGTATGTGCGTATTTCTGTGCGTGTTTATCACTCCTTTTACTTTCTACTTTATTTTCCCTTTAATTTTTAACCAGTTTACATTTATGTTGAACATCAGGTGGAAATCAAACTTGATAAGTGCTTGCTTAGACTATCAGAGTGTGAGTTGTTAGACACAGATAATAATGACACATGGATTACATTATGTAAATACACTACCCCATACTACTTTTTAATGAGATGAGGTACACTAGTAAACAGCCTTTTAGAATTAAATGTAATAATTACTCTACATGCTCCAGACTTTTCATAAATCATGGTTATATTTGAATAATTTTTACTAAGTCAGTTAGGTGAATTTCGTTGGTGAATAGTTCAACCCAGTGTTATGATGTAGTCACAGAATTTGTTTTGGGAGCCAAAAATACGAGCGAGGTGAAATTAGACAAGCTTATTTCGTGAGAGTCTATAATGATAACACTTGACTTACGCTGGGAGCAATTATCCAGTTTGATATGTCAGCATAAACCGGTAGATTTATCTCAAAAGACTTTATACAAATGAATTGTCTCATGACATTTCTGCATACCGCTATTTGTATGCTGTCTTACATCTTTCGATTTGTTATCATTTCAGAATAAGTGTTCAATAACTAGGTTATACTCCTAAGCAGTTTTTAGTTAAAACCACCTTTCATATTAATAGCTTCTTATTTTAGACACAGCATATTATTATATTGTCGGGCGAAATAAGGACTTTTCTATGTTCAACGGAAAATAATTATTATGGAACGTTCGAATGCTTCGAATGTTGGCCGCATTCTCCAAATTTAGCAAACTGGCTAACATAGTTTGCTACAGGTTGATTACACACAGTTAGAAGGGATTGACAAAATACTCTGCATAGACTTTCTGATTGTAAATAACCCATTTGTAAGGGAATGGTAACACTTATGTGGAATATTAGAAGCCTGCATTATTTTGATTTTGTGCCAAATTTATTATAAATAAAAAGTCACTGACAAACATACTTTAATAATGAATTATTCACGCTGTATGTAAAATTTTCTGTAGCATTTCAACTCAACGTGTCTTTCGGTTTTATTATTACAAAGGCGTCCAAAAGGCATTGGATAAACTACTGTTATCTCTACGTCACTTTATATCAAATTAAAAAAATGAAAATTATTCCGTGAGGTTTTCAATTCTGTATTTTGTATTGTCCCTGATTTGTACCCACAATCCATCTCATTAGTCTGCAGTCAGACAAGAACAAATTTCATGTCACGTGACTGATGTCAACCGATCACAATGCTTACACTTCAATCTTGTGCCTGAACAGATATTTTTTTATCCCTAGTGAGACATAGGGATTCAAGCTAAAGGCTTGAATTTTTGGTAGCAGTAGTGTTTATTTTAACGGCATGAAGTTACCAGCCCCATAACCGACCTTCCCTCTTTACCAGTCATATTATTCGCTTGCCAAGGTAAAGGAGTGCATAGGCAGGGGACCGAACCCTGGTCCACGTGCTTGATTAACTAGCATTCTACGGCTGTGCCACTGACACACGACTGGATATATATACTCCTTATATTTTTGTAACTCTGGTCACTCTTTCCTCTCATCTGTGTTTGGGAATGCATTTTTCTACCCTACTATGTGTATTTTACCAGTTGCAGATCAGGGGTTAATTTTCCAGGAAATTGTTCAGCGTTCATTGTCGTAAATTAGCATTCCTAAATATACTGAACGACATCATAACAGTCCCTGCATGCAATGATCAAGACAATTTGAAGCCGATAACTTCATAAGTGTCAGGCATGAAATTAACTTATTAACTAACCAGTTAACTGACAGCTTCCGGGGTTCAATGATAGAAGCCTGACACCATATCCACTCAACTGTAGAAACAGTGGTAAGGAGAGAAGTCAAACGCTAGCAAATGCCAGTGGATCTCAGTTGCTCCATCCCAACTGATGGATGCAAGAGGACTGACTCCGGTGGGCTCCGAAAAGGAGAAGCGATAGGTAACTAAAAGTCTTCGCAACGACTGCGAACAATGGTGCGCGAGAAAAATAAAACAACGCAAAAGTCATCCGCGGTAGGTGATACCAGATAACTTTTTGGACTGATGAAGGTGAAGGGTTCTGGAAGACCATTGATAAGCGAAACAAATTCCAAGAACAGTGCGTTATCTACCTCTCAGTAAAGAAGATTGAACCATTGGAGGCAAAACATACGTCCTCAAATAGTAACTGACTGTGCCACTGTCTAATTTGAAAACAAGCAAGTTGGCGGGGCCTAATGGAGTGACTCCAAAAGTCTTCAAGGGCGATGATAAACTAATATCTAAGTTAACTGAAATACTAGGTGATGTGTGGGCAGGTGAGATATTCTTAATGAACTAGTTTGAATCATTGATTATTTCAATATATAAGAAGGGAGGCAAGTCTGTATTAATCGTAGGGCTATCATCTTAGCCGATACAGTACCCAAGATTCTAAGTTTAACAATCCTGAGTAGACTAACAGTTAATCAGAAGAAACAAACTCCTGAGAACCAGACAGCTTTTAGGTGAGGAACAGAGTGTGTTAGTCATATCTTAACCTTTCGACAGATTTTGAACCATAGGCATACTTAATGACATCCAACACCTGTCGTATTTCTTGACCTGGAGGTGGCATTCGATTCCATCGACCGAGAAGTTATTTATGAAATTCTGGTAGCGAAAAAAGTGGGGAGAAACTATATCGCACTGACCAAAAAGCCCTCCGCTCAAACTCACCACTGTCATAACTTACGGAGAGTTGACATTGGAAGTGATGAAAGCCAGTGGTATTCGTCAGAGATGTTCAATGTCTTCGTTTTTGTTTAATTTCATAGATATGCTTGTAAATCTCAAACTAATCGAGTTTATAAACTCAGGGATTAATTTTTTATCAGACTATAGTCTCGTCTATTTAAAGTGCACGCATAATATGGTCCCTAAAGGTGAAGACTGACAAAATAAAATCTTCTGAACACATTGGGTTGAAACCTTGATGTCTTGTATACAATTTGCCTCTGTCAAATGTAGGGTAATGCTTCAGGCATGTCTGCACCGACCCCCAGCTTGAAGACTGGGAGTAAAATAGTTGACCACTTCAGTTATTTGGGTGTTCACAACAGCTCTAGTTATCTGGTTGCTGACGAAACGTAATTACGGATATAAAAAGCTCATGTGACGTAAACGTGATATTCGGGTACCAATCAAAGGACTCATGTAGTACTCAGCATTTCTCTCTGTCTATTTTAGAGCTTAAAGTCATAGGCATTTGAAGCGGAAGACCCGAAGAGTCCAGCTGTCTCTGACCATAGATGCTTGCCTTATATCCCCCGTGTTGAGTGATACAATACAGTGCGTAACGGTAAGGCAAGGGTGTTAAGAAATAACCCTCAGTCAGTCGATGAGGTTGTGAGGCTAAATAGGTTGTGACGAATAAGACGCGTGTTATACTTGTAAAGCCATCGCCTTCTCGTCGTGGAACCTTGGCTGACATAAGACTGGGTTTGTAATATGTTAGGGGTGGTCAAATCAGAATTTGTCATCAATCCGCGAAGTATTTGACCGTTGATTCGAGCCACGAAGTGAGGCATAAACTGCCTAGCTGGGGGTCCTGAGTCGCTAGAGATAGATGACTGCTGATGACATAGCTCAGAATCGTTTTTAATCGTACATATGCCCTCATCCTTTAGAAACTCACCTACATTTCCATGACTCACCTCACACTAGACTGAAGTGAATGACAACCATCATTCACACCAAATAATTTCAGTTCAATAACAAAAATTAAGAAACGTGTTAATTACCAAATGATCCACACTTAAGATGGGACTAGAAAATAGGGATTTGGTGCCATTTCATCAACTTGAGGATATAATACCACGTCATCCAGGTTCAAAGATGACGTATTTTCTGAATGACTGACACACCTTCTTCATGCAATAAACAAAAGCCTTTGTTAATACGCACAGCACTAATCAGTAACATGATAAACGCTTTGTATTAGTTAGAATATGCTCAGGCAAGCTAACCATTAGATGGTAAGTATAAAAATACATTTACCTACATAATTAGGACTTTTCCTGAGACATTAAGGCAGATCTATGTTGAGTCATATAATCCACAGTCTTCAAAAACGAAATGCAGTGACCTTACGGATGATAGATGAGGTAAATTGTTTTTACCTAAATGGCGTTGAATGACAATCAATGACTTAGTACCTTCTCATTACAAGGTAAACTCGCAGATCACTAAGGAATTGGGAACCCGTCCACTGGACATGTAAACAAACTCCTACCAATTAACGACATACCGCAACCGTTAGCCAATGTCTTGGAGCGGGTATTCGTTCTCACACACAAACTGCTTCAAATTAATGGAAACAAGATGGCAAGTTGAACACTAGTGTTTACAGAAAACCCACACATTCATACAGATATTTGGACTTCCGATCATCCCATCGTATGTCAGTAAAAATAGGATTGGTGAAATGTTTTAGTGACAGAGCACAAAAACTAAGTAGTACCAAGGAAAATCTAAGACAGGAAGTGATACATATAAGAGAAGCCTTCAAACTTAATAATTACTCTAATAATAATAATAATAATAATTTGCTTTATTCCAAAACAGTACTTGTGATACAGAATGGAATTCTCACCATTTCACTACAGTATTACATCCAGTTAGTCAGGAAATATGTAGGGAAATGTAAAAATGAAATAAATAATGACAGTAGTGATAGTGATAATAATAAAAAATAATAATAATGATAATATTAATGACGACATGCATGTCATATATGCTCAAGACAACACCAACAATAAGGAGTCTAAATCATCAGTAGTAATTCCATACAAGCAAGGAACCTTGGAAACCTTACGCAGAGTTCTTAACAAGGCAGGAATAAAAGTGGCATTCAACCCCACAAACTCAATTAGAAGCAAGCTTTGTCGGTTAAAGGATCCTG